AGAGAGAGAGAGAGAGAGAGAGAGAGAGAGAGAGAGAGAGAGAGAGAGAGAGAGAGAGAGAGAGAGAGAAAGAGAGAGAGAGAGAGAGGTCGAGGTTGGTTACTGCGGGTCAGAACGACGTTATTGATTACAGTTTACCGTAATATGGCACGCAGTAGTCAACCTCTTCATTCGTAGGCTGAGAAAGCGGTTGAAAAGGCGAACCTGGCAAAAAGAACATAATGACATTAATGCAGACACTTCATACATGTATACATATATGTATATGAGAGAGAGAGAGAGAGAGAGAGAGAGAGAGAGAGAGAGAGAGAGAGGTTGGCTACTGCAGGCCAGAACGGCGTTATTGATTAACGTTTGAATGTATTATGACACACAGTAGTCAACCTCTTCGTTCGTAGGTTGAGAAAGCGGTCGAAAAGGCGAACCTGGCGACAAGAAGATAATGACATTAAAGCAGACACTTCATACATGTATACATATATGCATATGACAGAATAAGAGAGAGAGAGAGAGAGAGAGAGAGAGAGAGAGGTACATCAAACTTCTTTAACGACACGTTTAGCCACGACTTTACATCTTTTATACAGTGCCCTTAGCCGCTCGTTGATGTGGACTCCTTTCTTGCAATGCTGACAATCGATGGCCTCCGCACAACGCTCTGCGTTTGCTACGACCTTCGACATCATCTCTTTTGCAAAAGAAATGAGATGGGATATACAGTCCGCCACAAGCCTTGCCATTTGTCGTTTATTCGCACTTGACACGAGCTGTTCAAATATTTCCATGGTCATAGGTACTGCTGACTCTTCATTGCTTGTCAACGGTGCTTTGTTGGCGAGGACGCAAGGGAAATTGTGTCGAATTTCATGACATTGAAAGGAATTGATATCTTTGCAGTCCAGCAACAAGTGTGCCTCTGGCTCACAAACTCTTCGACCTGTGTTGATATCGCACATCCGCATTGTCAGATCATCTTCCCGACTTGAATTCGCGACTTGTGAATTGTATGTTTTCATAGTTTCTACGGGGTTCGACGTTACAGACAATTGTCCCGATGTCAGGCGACCTCTACTGTACTGAAGAGAATATACAATATCGGCGCAGCTGTTGAGCAGAGACCTCAAGTTCCCATTAAGGCCATCGCATTCCGTATGTGCACCATCGGTCTGTAGTCGATGGTTAAGAGTGTAGTGCTCTATGGTCTCCGTGCAATGACGGATCCAATCCTCAGCAAAAGACAAGAGGTCTACAAGACTTTTCGACGAGGCTGTCAGCGGACCGTTGTTCAGTTCCTCACTATCGTAAGACGCTCATCCTTCCCTGACAACGCATTTGTCCGCAAAGGAACAACATGTGACATCCCATTCACAAGCATTTTTTGTTTTGGCACCGAATGCAGTGTCCGCGTAAAGAAGAAGGTTTTCCTGATAGGATTTAAGATTAGCAAGCATAATCTGGTACTCCTCAAACATGTCCTTCTTCTCCTTGGCGATTTTTTCGAGTTTTTTGGTCATCCCCTCCCGCAGATCCGTCACAAGAGACTTCGGATCGGGCAACAACCAGAATATGCTATACAATCTATGTTCCGCAGTCTCTGTCATTTCCGCGAGTGAAAGTTCCACACGGGCTATCTCGTCTCGCGTCTGGGTGACCAACTGTTTCTGCTCGATTACTTCAGTTGTCAGTTTATCTATAACTTATTGCTGCTTTTCAACTATCTCAGCCCAGCTCTCATCGATTAAAGCCTGTGTTTCATTTTTGCCCCCCCACGGTGCATATAGATCTGGAGATCGTTCGCACTCTATCACTTCTCCTGCCTTTCGTTTGTCTCCGACTTTCGACATTCTTGATATTTGGAAAGGCGGAAAGAAAGAACCACACAGAGAGATAGATAGATAGATAAATAGAGAGAGAGAGAGAGAGAGTGGGAACCAGAGAGGTTGACTACTGCGGGGCAGAATGTTTTTATTCAGTAACTTTTAACCCTGTCATGGCACGCAATAGTCTACCGAGTTAGTCGATGGGTATGGCAGGGGTTGAATAGGCCAACTTCGCGACACGAAAATACTTACATTCAAGCAGACACTTCGTACATGTTTACATTTGCGCATATACGCAGAGACACCCCCCTCGAATACAAGACATCCCCACCCATCCC